AAGGCATAAAAACAATCGTTTACAGAAATAAACTGATCTTTGAAAAATAATAATATGTACCTTATTGTTTAAACTGAAGGCACAAAAAATGGAATAGTTTGTTATTAATTGTTCAGAATTGCTTAATATAATTGCTTTAGAACAGCAACTAGAATGCAATGTAAGCCAAGCACATTGATCAAATAAGATTCAGAAGTTGGGAATATATGAGCAGTTAAATTTGATCTGATCTTGGTATTCTTATGTGTACAAAAATATCGAGATTAATTTTGCAAATGAAAACTGCACCATTAAGTGAAGTAAAATATATGTTTAGCATTTCATTAGAACAATTAATTAATTATTTTGCACCAGCTATAATTTTTAAATAACGCCAAAACAAATACATTTTAGCTTAATATTTAACATGTTGTAACGATATTACATGATTATATTTTATTTCATTTATATTCAGACCTTAACTTTATTTGAAAAAGAAACACTATTTAGTTTGTAAAATCGAGAAATCAACTATCAAAGAACTATGGAGAACAATTAAAGAAAACTTCAATAAACCGAAAAGGCACGTGCTATTGAAGTTTAATATCTAAGTGATTTATAAAAATATATACCTATTTATTTTATCTATGCCATTAAATGTATTTCATTTAAAGAAGTAAATATTTTCAACATTAAGTGACGTTCTCATTCTCGTTGCTTATACCGTCTGTCTAACATCAACTTGGGTCCACACATGTTTCTTTTGTTTCTTCAATTATACTGCGATTCATTTTCATTATTAATTTAAACTGCGCCTCTTCACACACACACACAAAAGATCAGAATAAAAGCCGAATGCAAACGCTCGATTCGAGCAACTAACCAAATAGCTTAAATGCCAAAATGAAATCGTTGGCATAAAAAAGAAATACAACAACAATAAAAAAAAACCAATGAAGTTTTGCCTCAAAACCAAAAAAGTAAATTAAATTTCACTCTATGGGCCATAATGTTGTTGTTTCTGCTGTCGCGGCTAGTGCTGCGGTTGACGCCATGTTGACGAACATTTCTATCTGCGACTATTTTGTTTAAATAAAGTAAAAGTCAATTAACATCTTTGTCGCATTAACATGCGCGCGCGCGATACCAAAGAGTCAACGAGTCGTCGTCGGAATGTTTGTTGTTGTGTATGCCACACTCTCTGTTGTAAGTGTTGTGTGTGCTGTATAAGTATGTGTGTGTGTGTGTGTGAGTTGCTTTTGTTATGCATTTTTAGCATTTTAAGTGTATGCGGTGCTTGCCACGCTGCGCATGCTCAGCTCTTTCTTTATGCCTTATGCATGAAAATGAACATGAAAGCGAATAGCAAAAAAAGCGACAAGAAAATAAGTTGGCAGCAAAACAAAAGACTTAGGCAACGAACGTGAACCAAGAATGTTGAGAGAGCACTGGAGAGTGACTACAGCTGGAGCTGGAGTTGGATCTGAAGTTGGAGTTGGAGCTGGGGCGTTGTTGTACGGAAGTGGTACACACACACACACAAACACACACATGCTCACACATAGGCCACAAATTACAGCGGTTGATCGAGTCGTCAGCCAAGGCAGCTCTAACCAACTGGCCGTGCAGAATTTTTTTCCAGCGTCGACTGCTGGCCGGAACCAGTTTGCTTTTGCCACTACCAAACCAATTTTATTTTTATCTACTTTTTTTGGCTTTTTACATTCCTGTTGTTGTTGTTTTGTTTTTTTTTATTTATTTATTTTGCACGCCTAACTGTTTTGCCAACCGTATACCGTTGCAGTCGTCCATTCGTCCGGTCGCTCTTTCATTCTTGGCATGATTTGCCAAAATGTCGCTGGCAGTACGGTATGTTGTCCATTTGCGGTGCGTGCTGTTTGCGCTTGATTTGGCATTCCTGGGTTGATCGCACACACACACATATGAGTTTAGGTCAACATTTTTGTTTGCAACACTCGAATGCAAGGCAAACCCAATCGAAAATTGTAATAGTGAGCCACACTATTGCTGCGAATTTACCTTAAATGTCGCTAAATTCTTAAATGTAGCTAAATTCTTTTTAAAGAAGTTTCATTTGAACATAAAAAAATCCGCCATATTTAAAAAAACATTAAGCTTTACCCCAAGTCTTTTTTCCACCTAAATTCCCTTCGACTTGAACTCTATTTTCATTTATTTAATTGGCGAATGTTTTGTAAAGCCATTTTATTGCGGTACATATACAAATAAATAAAAAAAAATAAATAAATGCTGAATTCACAAATTTTTTGGTATTTGTAAAAAAAAAATTTTTTTGTTCTCGTCTGTTATCGTCTTGGCATTTCTTTTAATTCTCTAACGTGCGCGTGCTTTTCAAAAATAATGCTTTTACATAAAAAACCAGCCAATGTTATCTTTAAAGTACCAAATGGATTTGCTTTAAAATCTGTTCAGCAGATTTGAAAATTACAATATTCAATTAAAGAACACATATGCCACCCATCCGACATTTTTGATATTAGCTCGAAATTTGGCCTTTTTTCTCTGCTTGCTGCTACATCAGCAACCGTTAGAATCTCAAACATTTACCAAAACGAAGTGCTTGAGCAACAAACTTATGCAACATGCAGCACATTCTCAAGCCAAGAACCGTTACACAATAAATTGAAATCGATCGCCCGACCAGCTTATCAGTGGGCAGCAGCACCCAAAGCTGCAGCATTACAATAACAATAACGACAACAGGTTCATTAAAAAATAAAACAAGCCCGTATATAGCCAGTCACACACACACACATACATGCAAATGTACATAATCTATGCAGGCATCTGTGAGCAGACAGAGAATAGTCTTAGTATTAAATTATGCATACAGGTATGATAAAAGCTTGTCTGCAACATCTTAAGGCATTAGTCGAGGAGTGGAGCAAGGGGCAGTTGGGGACGATGGGGACGATGTTGGCCTGAAACTTGTTTGTCGCCACCGGCGCACGCCTTCGCCATGATCTCAACAATGTCTGGGATGCATGCATACTAAGATGATTACAAAATGAAGCGTCATAAGCAATTAATATAAAACTGTATATGTAAGTAAATTCTGTAAGCTGCATGACAAACTTGAAATTAATGAAAAAACTATGTGTTTATTCTTCTCATAAAAACAATTATTTGCGCCTAACTACTAGCAGTATACATATGTACTCGTATATGCAACCTTTTTTGTAAATTAATAGCTTGGCCTTCAAATGTGTGAATAAATCCTTGTCCACCTAAACATAATAATTATCTCTTATATTGCTTTTCCAATAGTTCTTATACAGATTGTTATGAGCAAACAAACTTTTAATCTTAAAAGTCTTAATCGCTTTGAACAATTTGGGGAAAAACAAAGCATGAGAGGGACTTTTTTGCAGCGATCTGTTGCGGGTTATTGTTAATGAAGAATGAATTTTGAAATAGGAGAGACAGCAGAGAGAAACCAGACTTTATTTTTATGCAAGCGGGTTTTGTAGAAAATGATTTATGTCTTTGATATTTTAGAGCTTTGTGACCTTCTCAAAATTCATAAACTCAACAAAGCTAAAGTATATATGTTGTTGAACTAAAAATACGAATGTCGACAGAAAGCTAATTTTTTTTGTATGCATATTGCTTGCACTAAAATCGTATTTTGAAAACTCCACAAAGCTACAGAAATTAGGAATGATTCCCTATTTAAGAGAAAATGTGCATTCTCAATTAAATAGTTTCCAATGAAAGCCTTCACTAAAATGCATAAGATTATTATTATTATATTACTATTATAAAAGAAAATAAAACACACGTTTTGCGCTTCATTTTCATCGTTTAAATAAAAAAAAATATAAATAATATGGCAGAATAAAGTTAGCTTCCTTTTGGTTGGATAATTCTATTATAAACAAGTCAATAAATAATTTTAAAAATAAAATAGTAACTGACATCAACATGTTCCTAAGATCTGAATATTAATTGTTGTTGCTCTTTAAGATCTTTACTTTTTTAAGAATGATTGTAATGCTATTAAATTTTAATTTTTCTTTTTAAATTTGAATGTATTGTATGTGTAGTATGTTTTTTATGTTGTGATATTGAAATAAATAAATAAACATGTAAGCACGTTTTTATCTATAGATACACCATTAACATGGTTGCAAAATGATGTGATTTGATTCTGGATTGAATTTTCTGAAGACCTCATTTGAGGTTATCAGTTTTATCATTTAATCTTTAAATGGTTTTATTGCGAACATTTTATATACATATATATTCCATAAATTATAGCTAAAGCAAAATCTTTTCCGCGTTTCATGCAAGCCAAGCCTATCGACAACTGATTAAGAGTCTTTGTCAGTAGGTTGTCAAAAATGCTACAAATGTTAGAAATGGTTAAATACGAGCTCTCTCTTTCTCTTCGCCTCGGCACTAACCGACTTCACTTGAGACTGTCAATCATTTAATTTTGCGAGCTTGTTGCTGGTAGCCCTTTGACCTAATCGCGCTTATCTGGCCAACATTGTTCATTGACTGCGGCAACATTTTCGACCGGCATTCAAGCATAAACTTTGCCACGAGCTTAAATTTATTAGTGGGTAGGTCCCATGGAACGAACCTCAACTTCAACCCTGTCTTGGCTCAATGAACATTTTTGGCTTTTGCAAATGCCAATTTACACTCAAAAAAAATAGAATTAACTCTTAAGAGACACAGCACACAAATCGGCGAGTACACACACGTATAGAAGAAATCGTTGATGACAACACTTGGTGTTAATGTTGTCTTTTTTCTATTTAGTTTCGCATTCCGCCAGAATTTTTTTATTTTTATTGTTTATTTTATTGAATAATTTTCTACATTATTTACATACGAGTATGAAGGAATGCCTGTGTATGTGTGTGTGTGTGTGTGTGTATGTATGAGTATGGAGTATGGATGTATGGATTTATGAGAACGAATATGCATAAGTATGCAAAGTGTATTTTTTTAGCTGTCTCTTCACTCACTTGCTTTATTGTTGTTGCTTTGCGTTAGCCGCCGCCGTTGCCGTCGCTGTCTTTGCCAACGTCCACTGTTTGTGTGTGTGTGTGTGTTTGTGTGTATGTGTGAGTACGTGATGTGTGTGTGTGTATGTGTATTTGTGTATTTTGTGCTGCGCTTTGTGCTCTTTTTCCCAAGAGTCTTGCTTTCTACGTCACTTCGTCACACACAGCGCATTAGAAGAATTCTGCTACATTTCCCATTTGTGTTGTTATTATTGTTGTTGTTGTTGCCATAATTTGTTGCTCTGAAAAGTTCTCTTTTTTTTAACTATTTTGTATTGCCAATATAACAATAACTGTTGCTGCTTCTATTACTGTTATGCTTATGTACACTTGCGAAAAAAAATAGTTTGGTTAAAAAATATTTGCTCTTGGTACTTTTTGTATACTTTTTATGTACATATGTATATAATTTTCTTGGCACGCCGCACACCAAAAAAAAGACAACAAACTCGTACGACAGTTAGGCAGCAACTGAAAAAAGCCGTCGACAAAGATCACTTGTTGCGACTACCGCGACATCGACCGCATTTTTTCACTGGCTGACTGACTGGCCGAGAGAACCAAGTTGAGCGACACCGAGCGTTTTCCAGAGCGAGAGAGCGACAGATATGGCCAGAGAGCGGTAGCTGAAGCGGCGATGTGTCCAAACCGGTTTCAGGCTCAGTTCTCGTTGGCTGGGCTCCCTTTGAGCCGCTGCTGACGTTTCAAGCACATTGCTTCATTGACTGGCCTAGAGCTGCTGATATACTATCGATAAATCGATATCTACACGTTATTGGATATGTCAAAAGCAGATATTTTTCCCAATAATATGTTCCTTTAGTTACTGGAAGTAGGAAAAACCTAGGCCTAATAATAAAGACTAACTCTATTAACATATTAGAAAGGGCAGTAGCTTGAAAATATAATTTGCATAGCACTAAAAACGTTTGTTTATTTTTAAACTTTCAATCCACTACCGACTTAAGCTATTTGTCAAAAATAAATATTTTGAACTTTATACTGTTTTGCATTTTCGAGTCTAAGCAATTAGTTGATAATATCATTTAACCGTTACACAAACAAACTGAGGAAAAGAAAAGTGTCAGTGGAATGCATATTACTATTTTGTTTCTATAATTCGTTTCGTAAATTAAACATTCTTGACTCTTAAAATCAATTGTCTGTTTAACAAAGTTACCATAACATAAACCAATATCAAGATAAGGGTTACATTTTTTTTATACTAGAGAGAACTAATTTGAATTTGTGCATCGTTTTAGTGCAAGTTAAGTCCCGTATTGTTTTTAGTTTTCTTCTAATGTGAAAATGTGCGGAAAAGTCCTTAAACATCACTCAGCCGCTTGTCAACATCATTATTTGTTTAAGCTCAAAAATTGCTTGTTTTTACTTTCATTATACTTTCACCTTTAAGTTAAGTTTTTAATCTAGTACTACTTATGATGGTATTTGCATCATGAAACTATTGATTATACTTTTCTTTGTCGGGCTTTTGAATTTTTATGTATATATATATTTTATGTATATATATAGGTATATATATAGGTCTAATAATAGGCTATAAATCGGCCATAAATGTATCTATAATTCTAATTATTTTGTCAGACATTATCGCTTATACGGGTATATTTGTTTTTAATAATTTATTCAGCATGAGGGCCCCACTGTTTCAACTGCTTGTCTGCACTGCTTACTCTTTGAATTGTTTTTCAAAGCAGTCCAACCGTTAAATCGTTTCAACTGCTATCACAAGCAAGCAGTTCAACCGTTACATCGTTTAAAATGCTTGCTTAAAAACTCGTTAATTCGTAGTTATCTGTTTTAAAGACTTTATTTATTTACATACACGATATGAGTTCCACATAAGACTATTAAAAAAAAAAACTGCATAAGCTGCATTAATCAGCATTATATTAAATCTCAGGGTAGGCGCTGCCAATCAGGCTCTTGCCTCTATAGCGCCACGAATAGGTGACGATGCCGAACTTGCTGTTGCCCAACGAGACAGGACAGGTGCGATCCGGACGTAGCTGGAAGCACACCGTATACAGAGCCAACTCCAGCTCGGGGGAGGTGCCAATGAACAGAGTATTAACAGGCTTATTCAGATTATTGTGAGAGAATCGTATCTTGACGACTTTGCTTTTCTACAGAAACGGCAAAGAGAAGAGTGTATTTTGAAATGCCGCATTTTTTCTGCCGTAGCTTCTACTTACCGTGCCCAAATCTTGTTCCTTTAAGTAGCCTTTGTAGTCGAAGCGTCCTGCCTGCTCCTCCTCATTTACATAGACCCAGTTGTGGAACCCAATAATGGTGCCATTCTTAACCTCGTGCACAAACACATGCTCAAAGCCAGAACTGCCAATCTTGCCCTGGCCGCGAGAGTATTGCGTAAACCACAGCTCTTTGACAAGATCACGATGCGTCTTTGGATCAGGTGTGACCAAGCCCTTCTGCTGCAGGAAGAGCATAGCCTGTCTCATAACACTGGTTGCCATGACTGCATCGAGAAAATCGTTCTCCTCTTTGCGTTCATTAGCCGTCACATGCTCATTGACCAGCGTGTCCTGCTCATAATTATTAAAGAGGGCATGCATCTTCGCTATGGTGGGCGATTCCAGGGCCTTGCTGTCGACGCGCAGTAAGCTTTTAAAGGGGATAAAGTTTTAGTCATTGTCTGGGTAGGGCATGAAAGTTACAAGCACTTACGGCTCCGGTGCCTCATCGGCGCTGTCAATGGAACGCGTCCGTCCCTGCAGATTCACGGTGATCAGGTTGAGTTGACTATTGGTCTCCTTCGTATACAACTGTTCGGTCAACTGGCGAATTTCATCGTCTGACGCAAGCGAATTGCCCGAGGACTGGAAACCAGGACGCACTGTGGAGGTCGAGTCACCACCAGCGTGGGGCACAAAAGAAACTCCGTGACCGCCAGTACCGCCAGACCCAGCACCACCAATACCCGCTGGTGTGGGTAAAGCTGGCTTACCAGCTGGTGTCGGATGAACTGGCGCCGCAGGATGCACGGGCGTGGGCAGCGGATTCTCCCAAGCTGATGGCGAGGAGGGTCGCTGTCCAGGAGTGCTTGGTGCCGCGCCCGGGGACTTGGGCGGGGGAAGGGATGGGAAGTCCTCCTTGACCGATGGCCGACGTGGTCCCGGTAGCGCGGGGAAGTCCTCTTTTGTTGAACTGCTGCTCTGTGGTTGCTTTGTGGTTGTCGTAGTACCACCGGTACTGAAACGCAAATCAAAATCTGGTTGTTGAGGCGTCTGTGGTCGCTGCGTCGTTGTTGTTGTTGTTGTTGTGGTGGTGGTCGTAGAACTAGTCAATGGCGCTAGCCCAAAACTTGGACGTCCCGCACTGCCAGCCGTACCGCCAGCTGCACCACCCGAATAGCTTAAATCAAAGCCACTGGGTTGCGGTTTTTGCGGACGATAGGGCGCGAAGCCAGGTGGAAGATTTGGTGCTCCCGCTCCGGCCGTCGAGGCTCCACCTTGAGGACGACCAGCGGCTCCAGCTGAGCCAGCGGCGCTCTGTCCATAGCTCTGCGTTTGTGTATTCTGTGGGGCTGTGGCGGCACCAGCCGCGGCTGGCCATTGCGGACCACTGGCCCCCGGTGACCCCGAACCGAATGGTGAAGAGCTGGGTGTATCCGGTCGAGGACCTAAAGGCATGAGTGGGGCATGGGAAATGACCAGTGGTGGTGGCTTCTGTGCTGTGGCGGGCGTCACGCCTATAGCTGCCCGATCCGGAATCAAGGAGCGCACTGTGGTCGTAGTCGTGGTTGTCGTCGTGGTGGTCGTCTCCTCATTGCTGCTGCCAAAGAACTTCTTGAAGCCGCCGAACCAGCCGGACTTTTTCGTTGTCGGCTCATCCAGGGGCGAAGGCGTTATCTCTATTTCGCTCTTGTAGGCATCTGTTATTTAAAATGAGGGCATTACAGACGTTATGCTGGAATAAAGACAAAGACATGGTGTTGGGTTTCTACCTGTCATTTGGCACTGGCCGGCGATGACTACGCAAACAAATAGCCCGATCAATGCCAACGCATTGTGGCCGCGTTCGCGATGGAAACGCATTTTGTTTTTGCTTATTTTACTTGTATTGTTGTTGTTGCGTGTGTTTTTATTATCACTTTTCGGTCGATCTCTCCACTTGCTTATATACTTGAGCATTCAACGGACACACAACTTACAGGTCGGAGATTCAACACACGACTAAAGCAGCTGACTCGGCGATAGCTGCCGATTCCCGGGCCGGCATCCGCTTGATCTTTGCTGTGAGCTGCTGCTGTTACTTGTCGCTCAACTTGTTGTTGCTGTTGTTGTTGTTGCTATAGTTAATGAGCTTACGTTGCGGCGACGTTGTAGCATTAGGTATGGGACTAGGCGCACAATGTATGCCCTGCGTCTTCAAACTACTTAGCAGACAAACTCCAAATAAAATCAATGTTTCTCGTATCAAATCGATGGCTATCTACAATTTGTTTACCCATAAAGCGCAGCCAACAGAATAACGCACATGTTATGATTCTTGACATTGAATGAATACTTACACTGATAAAAAAGTTGCATAGTACAGATGAATATTTTCATATTAAATTTCATGTTCAAATATAAACATCCTAAATTTTACTAAAACCATATTCAGTTAGTGATTTTAATATGACTAATATTCGAAACAAAGTGAAAAACTTCGTCATCATTAGTGTGTTATATTCAATTTAATGTTGAACCATATTAAATATTAATATGCACACACTTCAAAAAACAGATAGTTAAACTTGCTATATTCCATAGTAAATTATAAAAGTTTTCTCAACTTTAATTTGAATTCGACTTAAATATACTAGAAATAAATTAAATTTCAATGACTTGAATTCTCAAGTCGGTTTTCAGCGGTTGTGTGGTATAAGTATAAAGTGGAACCGCTTGACATACAGATATGGTCGTTAAGTATGAGTCAAGTAACACTTACTTCAATCAGCTGCTCCTCACTTCTAATATTAATATTGATCCAAAATATTTCCATACTAAAAGGCATAAAAAACATCAAGAAAATTAATTCATAATAACAAAGAATTTTAATAGTACTTTCTGCTAAAAATAGGGTTCTATACAAAAAAATATATAAATAAAACATGCAGTATGAAAATGTCATTATTGAAAAGAGTTAAAAATCCAGTAGAGTAGACAAAAAAAGTGGCGAAAATATTTTATAATTATGAAAAATTAACCTTTGCGTGTATCAAACCCACGTCTCCACATCATCCCTTGTGATTTAATATCGTCACACTTTAAATTTAATATTTTAATATTAAAATTTAAGTTTGCACACTATATTTACTAAAACACACGATGGTGCAAAATCGATGGTAAAAATAGTGAAATCTACGTGTAAATATTGGAGTTTCCCTGGTTTTTTTTATCAGTATAGAAATAGGCCTCAAAGGTTCTGTCCACAATATTTCCATTTATATTCAACGAATGTTAGTAAGACTTCAATAAATCGTTTATTGTTTAGTTTCTCACATTGTTGTTTTCATGTTTCAAATCAGCTTAAGTCACTTGCTGCACAAAAAAAATGCTTTTGCTAAGGTTTTAAACGGCTGTCCTGAAAATCCATAAAGGATATTAAATTTCCGAAATGTAGACGTTGAGATTATTTTCATAAATTATAAAGACCACATATTTCAAAAACAAACAAAATTTCCACATTTTTTGAACAAATCCAATGCCATATAATTTAATAGTTGTCCTAAATAAAGAATAAAGATTTAAAAAAAGTAAGAGATACAGATACAGTATAATTTTTAACTACCATTGGCTAATCCTCATTACCTGCCTTCCTCCCTTGTAGCTCAGCTAACAGTCGCTGCGGCTCGTACCTCATATTGTGGTCTACCTACATTCATTTGAACTTGCCACTACTTGAGGGTTGTGAATTTTTAAATTATATGCGGCAATTATCTGGAAATAGCTATAACAATGCTCTGCATACGTCCCCAGATACTTCTGTGCATCATGTGCGCTTTAATTACCAAACAAGTAAGCAAATAAACGTAAATAAACTATTTAGAAAAGCGCAGGCTAGAACTTTTGAATTTGAAATGTTTGTGGACCGTAATGCCAGTGATTTGATGGCATGACATTAGTAACTGGACCAATTGAATTGAACTTACATAACCTTTGGAAACGATGTTAATTTTGTGCCATCAGCAGTAAAATGTGTCTGCCCCAAGCAGCTGTTATATGTAATATGTATACGTATTACCGAGCGAGTTAAAGTTTCCAGCAGGATGACCTCAATTCAACAAAAAAATACACGTACTAGTAAATATATAAATATTAATTGCACTCAAGTGTTTAGTATTTGTTGATGCTGCTGCTCTTGTCGATTCCAATAGAACCTGAAACTTTTGTGTGCTTATCAATTTTGTATATAAAAAAGGCCATTCAAAGAGGTTACGGCTTATTTATTTATATTTTACGTACGTGCTAGAATGTGTTTTGCAATAGAAGTACTCGTAGTAAGTATATACCTACTCACGAATGTACTATATTTATATTTTTAATAATGCAATGCATTTTAAAACGATAGCAGCATTCCATTTCCATTTGATGTAGCGCTGAAAAATGAATTGATTACAATTTTAAACGATATTCGCGCAATTAATTGCTACATATTTCTAATTAACAATTGGAAATGAAAAACCACAAATACTTAAGCATAGCTAACTAGAAGACTAAATAAAAATAAATTCAAATTTTAATGTGTAGTATTTTGTTTGAAACGGCGAAGAAAAGAAAGAAGGAGGATGAAGAGGTCACACCCCGCTGATCTTGCCAATAGATTTATATAAATATAATTAAATAAGACTAAGCTCCTAGTTAAACTGTATTTGTATTTTTCTATAAGTTTAATTTAAGTTGTTGAAAATAATAACATTATAATTAAAGTTTTTCATTTATAAAAAAAAACAAGTAAAAAAGCTAAAGTCGGGTGTCCCGACTTTGAAATACTCTGTACATATGTTTACAATAATTATAGAAAATAAAAAAAATTAAGAAAATAAAAAAAAAATATGATCGATTTTACCTCTCTCGGTATTCGAACTCACGTAAAGGGTGTATAATTGCACATTTACATAGCAATTGCGTCTGTGTGAGTGTATGTATGCCTATGCGCATCAATTCGTGTCTGTGTAAGCATTTTCGCAGTCAACCAAACAGCAACATCAACAACAGCCGCGGGCAGCGCTTGAGCAGCGCTGCAGCAGCGCTGCATCAGCAAATATATTTATGGCTATAACTTCTTGGTAAATCGGTCTATCATAATGAAATTTGTCATACGGACACATAATAACTAACTGGGGGTATTTCCAAAATTTTAGTTCGAAATTCCAAGAATTACGGGAGTTACGATTTGCGGGGTAGAGGGGGGAGGGAGGGGAATTCCAAAATATACATTTTCTGCGTATTCACATAAGGCATCTGGGACTAAAATTTGGTGTTCCTAGGTCTTATAGTCTCCGAGATATAGGCGATTATACGAATGGAAAATCGGGAAAACCCCCATAGGGGGGAAGTGGGGGGGAAAATCAAAAAAATAAAACAAACTCGTATAGAATACACACATAACGCATCTTCGTGCAAAATTTGGTGTCTCTATCTCTTATAGTCTCTGAGATCCAGGTGTTCATACGGACGGACAGACGGACAGACGGACAGACGGACAGACAGACAGACAGGGCTAGATCGACTCGTCTCGTCATGCTGATCAAGAATATATATACTTTGTGGGGTCTGCCACGCCTCCTTCTGCCTGTTACATTTTTCAGCTCCCGCAAACCTAATATACTTCTGTACATTTCATGTACAGAGTATAAATAGCAAGCTTAAACATTATAGGAAGGAATAAAAGATGCAAAAAATACAAAATGTGTGTTTATTAATCAATTCGAAAAACTAGAGCAGGACTGTATATCTCTTGAAAGGTTGTAGGAGAAATGACAGCCTTTAAAGAAAATCACTCTAATTACATTTTCTTGACTGTAGAAGCATCCCCTCCTAAAAGTATGCAACAAAAATGTGGAGTATAGATGTGCATCGAGTTGAAATACAAGTATATGCGATATTGTCAATGAATATTGATTAAGCTGATACTTCATTATAATTAATTTTTTTTGAACAACAGCAAGAGTAGTTGTTTATACTCTGTACATGAAATGTACAAGAGTATATTAGGTTTGCGGGAGCTGAAAAATGTAACAGGCAGAAGGAGGCGTGGCAGACCCCACAAAGTATATATATTCTTGATCAGCATGACGAGACGAGTCGATCTAGCCCTGTCTGTCTGTCTGTCCGTCTGTCCGTCCGTATGAACACCTGGATCTCAAAGACTATAAGAGATAGAGACACCAAATTTTGCACAAAGATGCCTTATGTGTGTATTCTATACGAGTTTGCTTTATTTTTATTATTTTTTTTTGATTTTCCCCCTCACTTCCCCCCTATGGGGGTTTTCCCGATTTTCCATTCGTATAATCGCATATTTCTTGGAGACTATAAGACCTAGGAACACCAAATTTTAGTCCCAGATGCCTTATGTGAATACGCAGAAAATGTATATTTTGGAATTTCCCTCCTTTCCCCTTCTCTCATGCAAATTGCGATTTTTTCTAACTCCCGTAATTCTTGGAATTTCGAACTAAAATTTTGCAAATATATGCGCATAGGCATATATACACTCACACAGACGCAATTTCTATGTAAATGTGCAATTATAAACCCTTTACGTGAGTTCGAATACCGAGAGAGGTAAAATCGATCAAATTTTTTTTTTATTTTCTATAATTATTGTAAACATATGTACAGAGTATTTCAAAGTCGGGACACCCGACTTTAGCTTTTTTAACTGGTTTTATCTTTCATTAGATCGTCATAATTCTCCTCTGTCTTCATATGCATGCGACTCCCAAAGAGCTATGCTTGCTTTTTCTTATCAACTGGGAATTCAATTGTATTACTATTTTCAGGGTTGTCAGAGTCATGTAAAATTTTAAATATTCTTAAACATTATTTTTCGTGCAAATATTTGTATGCTTCATAAATAAGAAATCTTTTGTAAGCAAATCAAACCCTGTATGTATGTCCCTGTCACTTAACTAACCTAATAACTAAGGTAAGGTAAAAAATAAGGTAAAAATATATCAGCGTTGCGGCATTAGATTGTAATCAGTAGAAAAATATGTAATACCATTTACATTCATCAATGAAGGATAAAACATGACTAATAAATATTAATCAACAAGCTATATTTAACAAAACAAAACATAAACTATTGACAATGCTATGAGCCTGCCGGTTTTGAAATAGTCAAAAACATTCGTTACGCTTTCAGATTCCATTTTCAATCAAGCAAAAACTAATTCCGGAAATAATAATTTTCTGTAAATTCCGAATAAGTGTGATTTCTAATATACCCATTTACAATATACAAGTGATATAACAAATCTTAATAACTAAATAATAAAAAAAATAGTATTAACTATTCTTTCCACTTCTCTTTCCTTCTCTTTCTCTCTGATTTCTAATATACCCATTTACAATAGTGATATAACAAATCTTAATAACTAAATAATAAAAAAAAACAGTTCCATTTCTGCATCCGATTAACATTTTCTCGCGCATCCTTGTCTTTCTCTCGCACTCGGTCTCTCGGTGTCTCGGTGTCTCGCTCTATCTGTTTCTCGCTCTCTTTCTCTCTCTCTGTCTCTGTGTCTGGTTCAAGCGCTCTTGTTGATTAGTTTCTTGCGTATGGTTTCATCCAGTGGCGGAATTGCCTCGCGCGGTATCAGAAACGTTGACAAGTTGAAAAGGTCCAGAAATACCTTGTAACGATCGCTGCAAAAACAACACCAGTACAATGACTTTCAATTTGCTCGTAGAGACAACAACAAGAGGACAACCTTCACTTACCTGAGTGTTGAGCGAAGATATTGATAGCCGGATGAGCCACCAGTGCCAAGCTGCTGTGAACCAATCATGCGTTGCACCATAATAACGTGATTATCTGCAACAACAAATAGACGATATACACACGTATAGTTGATTGTGATCAGAGATTAGTTGGGGCCAAACATACAGCGCCACTTGGTGATCAGCGAGTCAATGTCCATAAGCAGGGTCAGCAGCTGATGCGGCTGACTGAAACGGGGCTCGTCCCGGTAGAATGTAATCATGATGGCGCCCTGCAAGGCCAGGTGACTGAAGCGTCGATCGCCACGCTTCACCAACGCCTCGTGGACAGCGGGATCGAAAATTGAGCGATAGACCTCGCGTCGCTTCTCAATGTCCATTAGCCGATAGTCTCGGGCCCGTTTAACTGGCTCTAGCATTGCCGATTGCACCTGAGAAGCCAGAAACTGATCAACGCTATGTTGAAACTTTTCCCAGAAATTAAAACCATTCTCCTCCAGACCTGGCGTCCGCTCAAGCCAGCGCTGTACTAGCTCCAGCAGCGAAGGCTCATCCTCTGAATTACGTATGGCATTCAAAGCCTCCACATCATTGCCAAAAACATCCGAGTACTTTTGATTGTACTTCACACGCTGCTCGGTTAGCACACCAAGCTTATTCTCAATCAGACGAAACTGCATTGATTGGAAGCCGGAGGCGGGCGCCAAATACTTTCGAAAGTCCATGAAATCCAGCGGGGTCATAGTCTCCAGAATAGGCACTTGATCCACCAACAACTGCATGGCCACAATAACATAAATTATGTATTGATATGAATGTAAAATTTAATTTAATTTGCGGCTAATCAACATACCTTTAGTATGAGCACAATGCGATTTAGTCGCTTGACAATCTCCAGCGTTTTAGTCTCATCAATAACCTCCGCATCGAGCATGGCGCGTATGGAGTCCATTTCGAAAATAATTTGCTTAAACCACAGCTCGTAGGCTACATATATAGAGGTATGGGAAAATGTTAAATCCAAACTAAACACTGCAATCCCTTTACCCACCTTGGTGCGTAATTATGAACAAATGCTCATCGTGGACCGGCCGTTTATCCTCTTTGGAGAGCATGCATTGCGCTGTCAAGATCTTATCCAGCATCAGATACTCTCCATAGATCTTTCCCTCCTCATTTGACAACGGCAGGGCCGAATCATCGTGATCAGCACTATATAGAAATCACAGGAATTGATTAGTTGACAAATATGCCTTTGGGGTACGAGTATGACATACGACCTACCCGTTTCCTGCATACGGACAGCTCATGACCGTTTAGCGAAAATTCTGTGCGTTGTTTGTAAAGAAATCGAAATCGGGAGGCGAATCCAAAACACGTCTAGTAGTAGGCGCTGGCGAACTAACTCTGAATTGCACGGCGCTTGGCGGGCACCGATAAGCCCTAGTACTTGGCTCTCACAGTTCCAATCGACTGCGCAGGGGTCTGTCGTCGTCGTTGTTGTTGTTGTTGTGATTACCTCTCAACAGTTGTTGTTGCTGGTGTTGATGCCGACAATAATGCTGATGCTATGTCGCCCCTTATCTGCTGCCGTTGCTCCATAGAGTCAATACGTCAAGTGTTTATCAATAGTTTTCTTTTTATTAAGAGCACGATGCTGAAAAAAAGAAGAAACGCTTAAGCGCAGGAAGTCTCCACGCAAAATTCGTCGATTATTTCTTCCGAAAAAAAGGTTAACCGGCATGAAATTGGCATTGGAATTATAATAATTTCAAGGTGCTTCAAGAGAGACAGGAAAGCTGAAAAATATGGCCCGACTTCAATCAGCTTTTTATACTCTGTACATGAAATGTACAAGAGTATATTAGGTTTGCGGGAGCTGAAAAATGTAACAGGCAGAAGGAGGCGTGGCAGACCCCACAAAGTATATATATTATTGATCAGCGTGACAAGACGAGTCGATCTAGCCCTGTCTGTCTGTCTGTCCGTCTGTCCGTCTGTCCGTCTGTCCGTCCGTATGAACACCTGGATCTCACGAAGATGCGTTATGTGTATATTCTATACGAGTTTGTTTTATTTTTTTGATTTTCCCCCCCACTTCCCCCCTATGGGGGTTTTCCCGATTTTCCATTCGTATAATCGCCTATATCTCGAAGACTATAAGACCTAGGCACACCAAATTTTAGTCCAAGATGCCTTGTGTGAATACGCAGAAAATGTATATTTTGGAATTTCCCACCCTCCCCCCTCTCCCCCGCAAATGCGATTTTCTCTAACTCCCGTAATTCTTGGAATTTCGAACTAAAATTTTGCAAATACCCCCAGTTAGTAATTATGTGTCCGTATGCCAAGTTTCACTATGATAGACCGATTTACCAAGAAGTTATAGCCATAAATATATTTGCTGCTGCAGCGCTGCTGCAGCGCTGCTCAAGCGCTGCCCGCGGCTGTTGTTGATGTTGCTGTTTGGTTGACTGCGAAAATGCTTCCACAGACACGAATTGATGCGCATAGGCATACATACACTCACACAGACGCAATTGCTATGTAAATGTGCAATTATACACCCTTTACGTGAGTTCGAATACCGAGAGAGGTAAAATCGATCCAATTTTTTTTTTATTTATTTTTTTTTTTTATTTTTTATAATTATTGTAAACATATGTACAGAGTATTTCAAAGTCGGGACACCCGACTTTAGCTTTTTTACTTGTTTTGCTGTAATCTCAAGTAATCAACATTATCGGAATTATACTTACAGAGCATTTTTTATCAGATGTTAGCCTATAATGGTAAGATGTTTTAATAGGAAATAAATAATACTTTGAGTTACGATATCGTCATAATCTGCGAAGAGTGTCTAAGAGTCCAATGACAAATATACTCTTCATGATCTTCAAGTCTTTGTGCTATGTTTGTTTTCCCTAGCTATTTTGGCTCTAAAGCTCTTAATTCTCATTTGCCTCAATGTGCTCAACTGTTTTGAATGACATCGTGATTTCTAAGTAGTTTCTCATTAGGAAATAATGTACACGGCTATTAAATAATCTATACGGTACTAAAGAGTACTACCTTAAGCTGATGTACATACTTATCCGAACAATCATTGTACACATTTATCTTTTTTTTGGCCGATAACTTCTCATATTATTTGGCAGGCATCCCTTCCAAAACGGGGCCAGGCTATTTCGAAAGAAATACTTGTATGTATATTGGGAAAGTTGTCGCTGTTTTTTTTTTGTTGAAAAAAAAAACAACCAAGGTTGAGGCAAAACAGCTTAATCTACCATGATTTTATGTTTAAATGTCTGTACAACAAAAATCGTTCACTTCTTGCAAGAATATAGGATTGATGTCATATGTCAGCAACGATGGCAGTCCTTAAGCCTTCATGGAGCACTAGATGGACATCACATGGAGTCATGATGGTTCCAAAAGGCTAACCGGAACGTACTACTTGTGTTCATAGCTGGTATGGGAGTCACAGGCTAGGGACGGAGGACGGTAACTATGATGATGATGTTCGAAGCTCGCAGTTGATTGAGAAAATAGGTAAACGGGTATATAAAGAACATACATTTTGCTTTTCATATATTCGTTCTGTTTAAAATTTATTTGTGAGTCATTGGCTCAGTCATATTTTGGAATTTGTTATACTTTGCTGTTACACAATTAAATTTATTATGTTTTTCCTTGCCGTTGCCATACACATGTATGATGATGCATATGTACATCTTTTTTATATTTTCACTTAAACTACGTTATATATATGTGGTATATATATTATTTGTTTAGCCCTTTGTTGCATGCCATAATCATACCATAATTGTTATTATATCAATCGAATACACTCATGTATGTGTACATACTTATATATTTTGTATATTGTATAATTTCAACTGTTTTTGCACACTTAAAAAAAATAATTAGTTATACATTGCTGATATTTACCGTACATTTAAACCGAAATTTGAAACTTGAAATTCATGCGGTACCTTGGAGTTTTATATTGAATTTTGCATTAATGCCATTTATGTATGTATTACATAAACATTGAGTATTTATCCATGTAGTATGTATGGTAACAGCAAATACTATTCTATGTATTTATATATATAATTTAATATGCAAATCGCGCTGCATATTCTTTGTTGGATTTGTTTTTGGTTTTTGTTCGGTTTGTCTCCCCCTTGAACGGTAGAAATGTCGCTCAATTCTTATGTATATATATGAATATCTTCAATTGAATATCTTCATATCCATATACACTTCTATGTGTGTACTCGTACATATACATATGTATATATATGTATATATAAATATTCTTACGCTATTTAACTAAGTTCGTTTTGCGCTTGGCTTTTGCTCTCTTGCTGGCAACATTTGGCGCGATTTGTCTCTCTTTGCGTTGTCTGGTTTTGAATAATAAGTATATTGCATCTTGAAGACTCTTTCTGTTCTGCCTACAACCAATTATGTGCTGGAATATATATATAATATATGTATGTACTTGTTATAGACATAAGCACAATATGCATTTCTTGTCATTGCCATTATTTGCAAATAATAGGCATGTTGCTTCAATATATATACTATACTACTATATGTATACATATATAGTATAATCTGTTTGTTCGCTTTTGAAAATATGTATTTCTGGTTTTGTGTGTTGCGCATATTTTGTTGTTACCTAAGAATTTTCTGTGTATGTGTTGCATTTTGCACATCAACTATTTACTCAGATATATGTATAATTTATATGTGTGTGTGTGTATATATATATAGTAACCATATTTGTTATTTATATACGTGTATGTGTATGCTGAGGCGTAATATTTAATGCTATTTCAATTTTTTTTTTTTTTTTATACCTGTTTCAAGTTCAAGTTTCCAACTGCATCGCCGCAACTTTGGCACTGTTACGAGTACTTAGGATTAGTTTTATCAATTCAGTGAAATATCATAATAATAATATTAAGCATACGAGTATGTCAGAGTGTACTGTAAACGAAAAATAATCGAATGTGTGTGGAAATAAAAACACAGGAATAAACGTGTAATTTGAAACTTATTGGTTTATTTCACAAAAAATTGGAAACGTCACTGGTAAAATCAAATAAAACTAATTACATTTATTTAAAATATATATGTGTGTATATTATATAGTCATCTATATTTTCATATACCTAGTCCTATACCATAAAACTATACATATTTGGTTATATCGTGATTTCTAAATCGCTAACCTTTGAATATAAAACAATTTAGCTTCACTTCTTCTCTTCTCTTTACCTTTTCCTAATTGTTAAAAAGAGTCAAACGTTATGGGAGTTCGCTAAAGCAACAAATTGCACTACATTTAATTATATGTATGTATAATTGCATTTAATTTATTTAATTTAGTGGATTTTCCAAATCAAATGCACTTTTCATTGAGCAAAAATGTTAAACAGTTAAAACACAAATATCAAGACGAAAAAAAATGTTTGAATCGGCTCGCCGAAAATCTTAAAATATATCCTTGCAACTGCTTCGGTGCTATTCGACTTATTTAAGATATCAGCTCCTTTGACTTAAGTAGGGGGAAAACAAAGCGTTTAAATGTACACAAGATTTGTTGTATAATTAGCTTAATTTTGATTCAAATTTTCTATACATAGAGTCTCCCGAAAAAAATGCATTCAACTTTGTTTTAGAGATATTAGGGAAAACATAAGTAATTGAAGGAGCTAAGCGGGCTTTCATAATAATAATTCAATATTTTTTAACGTGCCAAGGAGCATTTAGCTCTCTCTGAGATCAAATATTCAAATTTATTTCCTTAATATTCTGTTTGAATTCGAAAGCGAGAGTTCTGATGTGCTTCACCCTTCAGGGAAAGTAAAATATACAGTTCTACTTGAATCAAATAATTGAAGTCTAAAGCTGAGTGAGTGATTTAAATAGACGGGAACAATCAGACATGCGGACTGATAATATCTTATTATTATTATTATTATGTATATAATTGAAAGGATATGAAACTCAATATTTACTTTAATGTAAATTTAGTTTAATTTAAAAAATTTAACTGGCTAGCATTTTAAAGTATTTCTTTGTTGCATTCTTTAGCACCCAGCACGTAAATATGCTTCAAATAAATTCTCTTCAGTTGGTTTTAAACTTAAGACTGATGGAAAAAAAAAAGAAATGGTAACAAGCATAATGCTATATCTTAACTGAATGGTGGATTTTGCCTTACATCGTGGCATTTTGCGTAAAATATTGATTAATTTTCATTGAAGAAATCATGAAATTCATAAATATATATGTATACGAGTGAGTATATTTATCATATACGACGAGTATTTATGCAAAGTATTCATATCTATCTGTATATAAGTATGTGTTACTACACTATACTTTGCTCTAGTTCGATTAAATAGTTAACGTGCTTTGCCGCCTAGTATAATACATACATGCCGTACCTTTAGTTTACAGAGCTTAAGCTTATGGAAAACGCGTATGTCTCTTGTTATTGTTGTTGTTGTTGTTGTTGTTGCTGTTGCTGATACTGGTGTTACTGGTTCTGCCCTTCTTAAGACTTTCATCCTAAGGCCACGAACACTGTGAAAACTATGATGACTTAGCATGCTTTTTTGGGGCGGCACATGGCAAAACAATACGCGAATGTGTGTTGGATCTTATATTTGGCTAGGTGTAAGATGAAAAAAAAAGAACATAGATATAAAACACGCACACGCACACACACTCACACACACATACACCGACACATATACATACATACATACAAAACATGCATAGATACTATATACGTACTCGCATATACTTGTATGTGCCTACAGAGATAGACACCCACACATAGAGCTAAAGAGCAAGATCAAAATGGAAATGGAAAACAAACTTGAAAACGCACGCTACGGTCAACTCAACTCAATGGCAACGAAACTCAGCCGGGCGGGGAGGAAATTGGCCAGAACGGGCCAACTAACTACAACTGGTTGACGCCGCCACCGGCGCCCCCCAAATGCACTGAAGTCGCTGACAACTCGACGCGTTGACACTGGCGGCGCTCGACAATGACCGCCGCAGGCAGCGACTATTCCAGTGCGGGTCATACGTTCATCGCATAATAGACCGAACCCTGGGCGGCGGCGGCAACGGTGCCAGCGGGCTGTTGTTGTTGCTGCTGCTGCTGCTGCTGCTGGAGCTGTTGCTGTTGCTGCTGAAGCTGTTGCTGCTGCTGTTGCTGAAGCTGTTGCTGCTGCTGCTGCTGTTGAAGCTGCTGCTGCTGTTGTTGTTGCTGCTGCTGCTGCTGCTGCGTTGGCTGGTGCTGCTGTTGTTGTTGGCTGACGCCAGCCGTAGGCGAAACCATGGCATTGCAATCGGTATGCGAGACAGCAGCCGCACCCTCTGGCACGCCGCGCTCACTAAAGCCCGGAATGCCGGCCGCTGCAGCACCCTCGGCCGTAAACTGATAGTGCTGCGGCATCATGCGCTGCTGATTGCCGTGTGGATGCGGATGTTGCCCATAGTGAGTGGCATGACCGCGACCGGAGACCACGTGCAGTTGCATGCCGGGCAGCGCATAGCCAATCGGTACGCGTATCGTCTGCTGTGTGACCTGTGCGTGCAAAGAAAGAAAATATGTTACAATTTGCGATAATTCTAGTAGAATATAGATATTTTAACCCCAAAAAGGGGGAAAGAGTGTACTAAAAAATTGAAGTATAGTACAGTCGACTCTCGTTAATTCAAACCAGCGGTAATTCGAACCTCTCTATAATTCAAAGTTATCACGAGTTCCCTACAAAATCTCTTTATATTTCGAACTAAATCAATACATTTTTGTGCACTTGGTAATTTGAGCTAAAAAATCATTGCTATATGACAAAACGACGCGTTAATTCGAACTCATCGCCGTCCAACACTCGACAGTTCAAAGTTGCATAGAGAGTGCATTTTGCGACAAGTTCAAACTTGTATCAACGTACAGGTTTTTTAATGATTAGTTTGGCTATTTGACACACACTGCACACGAATTGGTTTGCTTAGTTATCATTCAGTTACTGTTACTCTTTTGACATTGTTATAGAATAGCAGTTAATAAATAATTATTGATCAACACATAATAATTCGAAGTTTTTTTTATTTTCTTTCACAAATTTCAAACCATTTGATATTTCAAACACTCGATAATGCGTAATATTTTAATTCCCTCGAGTTTTTAATTAACGAGAGTCGAATGTATATGTAACTGGCAGAGGAGGCACGACCAGCTAAATGAATTACCATTCCTATCTGTTTATATCTCCGCCTGTCCAATCTCAAGCTCAAATATTACGATTATTTTGTATAGCTCACATGATTCGTAAAAACAAAACAATACATGTTTAGATTAATGCGATATCGTTACGGTAGTATTTATATATTTCTATTTATTTATAAGTTTTTAATAGTGTCCCACTATTTTCTGAAGTTTCAAGAAACTTGTATCAAAAATTACATAATTTTCCAAATTTTTCCTCTACAATTAGCAGTATTTTAAAAATTTAATAAAGTTCTTCCACAACTGGATTTCTACCAATCAATATACTAGAGTATGATGGAGGGATACATCAAGAAAAACCTGCTTAACTACAGGTGCAAAAATAGGTGATTGGTTCCTTATCTCTAAACAAATATATATGAAATTTAAATTTTCAAACCGTGTTATATCAAAATAGTGTAAAAAAGGACCGTGTAAAAACATAATTAGGTGTATTTCTTTTAATCCAAATGGTAATATTATGTTGCTTTTTATTCGAATTTTTCTTTTCTTTTATGAAGTAAGAAAACATTAATCTAGATTCACTTGCTTTTAAATTACTTTTCAATTTATCATTTAATTTTTATAGATTTGCTTTGAAGGGTATACGAAGGTATAGCCGAACTCATTGCTACAAGTAAAATATCGCCTTAAGGTAATTTCTAATGCAGCATTACTTCTGTTTCTCTTTTAGAAAAGGATATGAAAAGTAGAGGCTATTAATAAGCTATCGCCATAAGATTTGTTTGATTATACAATGAGGGAAGCCCTACAACTCGTGAACTAAAACAGATAGTTAGCTCAAAAAACGCTAAATGATTGACTTAAATGCTCATGCAGGGCCCTTATACGACCCAGTAACGAAAGTTCTCTTTCACACTCTCACCTGCTGATACTCGAGTATATTTTGGCGCTGGATGTGGGCCACCTTCGGATCCACGCTACTTGTGGTGGCAAACTGTGAATAGGTCTCCGCATTATACGGTATGAGCACCATAGTCTGGTGATAGTTCCGCAACGGTGGCGGCGACTCTGGCCGACGCGTGGGACTGCGCGCAAAGTGACTATAGCTGTGCTGCTTCTGTTCGATGGCCGTGGCTGTCACACTCTGGCAGTTCTGCGCCGTTGCCGTTGCATACAGTAGCGACTCATCAGCCACACCTCCACCGGCCCCGACGCCAACGCCGCCGCCCCCCGCATGTTGTATCATGGTCTGGCGAAACATTGCGCCTGCGGGCAGCGTCTGATAGTAGGTTTGCTGTATGGCCGCGGCTGCAGCAGCTCCGTCGACTGGGAAACGCTGCTGCTCCCCAGACTCGCTGTAGAAGCTCCACGTGCGCTGCTCCGTCTTCTGTTGGGCAATGGTGTTGGCTTGCATCGCCGCGGCGGCGGCGGCAGCTGCCATTTGCTGTTGCAACTGCTGCTGCTGTTGCTGTTGAGCCTGTGCCTGTGCCTGCACCTGCTGCTGCTGCTGTTGTTGTTGCTGTTGTTGTTGTTGCTGCTGTTGTTGTTGTTGTTGTTGGGATTGCTGCGGCACGTTTTGGGGCGAGGGATTCTGTGATATTTGACTCTTGGGCTGGTTGGGCACAGCATAACTTTTAACTGCCTGTGGCACGGGCTGCAAGTATTGTTAACGAATATGAGGTTAACAGAGATCAGTGAAAAGGAATGCATTTCTACATAAATAACATATATTCTAGAACACGTATAGAGTATGCAATATCACAAATTATTTATCTATTCATAAATAAAAATTGTTTAACATTCTTTGATGATTTGATGAGCCATCCCATTATCATTGGTGTTGAATTAAAATGCTACTGTGGAGAATTTTCTGTAAAAATATATCAGAAACCAGAATTTCGCAATCAAAATAAGACTGCGCGAATGAATGCTTCTACAAGTAGTATTGGTTAGATCAGTGTAATATCCAAAGCCAGTTCAATTTGTAAGTAAGTATTACTTAAGGTTGATAAGTGACTCAAAGGTAACCAGTTGCTTGACAATGGTTTCTCGATAATGCATATTATGAAAGGTAAAGCCTATCTATGTAGTAAACTTTCCAGAAGTAGCTCTAGCATAGTTATTATCAATTACAAGTACTGTTGACTCACCTGACTATTTACCACTGTGGTCGGTATCTGTGCGCTCAACTGCTCCTGCATCTGTGCCAAAATCTCGTTGGTCGAGCTAAACTTCGGCTTGATGCCCCGCACTGAAGGTCGTTTGTTAAAGCCATAGTCGTTCTGCTCGTCATCGTCGCTGCTGGCCTGCGAATGATCAGCTGCCGTGTAGCGTTTCTTCAGCTGCTCCGTTCGCTTGGCCTCGGATTGCGCGAAGGCTGCCAATTCGTCCTGCTGCATCTCCTGCCCCGGCGTCCCGGCAATGACATCCGGTGCCACTTTACGCGCCTCATCGGCGCCGCCTGCAGCACCTATGGTCAAGCCGGCTAATCCTTGTGCGGCTAGCGCGGCGGCATGTTGGGCAGCAGCTGCCGCCTGCTGGTCCCCTGCACTCAGGAGTTGGCTCATATTGAAGTCAGCAGCAGCAGCCGCGTAGTGGGCTGCATGGCCATGCTGGTGAGCAGCGGCTGCTGCAGCCAGCGTATAGTACGAGGACAGATCGTCCTTGTTGCCAGCCACGCAGGCTGTCAGTGGCGCCAGTGTTGAAAGGAACTGACGCTTCGGCTCCGCTTGACGTGGAGGTGTGCGATGGATTTGTGTATGCACAACAGGCACCTGGATTCCCATACCCAGATCGGGGGCAGCGGGACAGCGGCACTCCTAATACAAAAGAAATTTATAAACATCAGTGAAATTCATAAAAATCTAGTAATGACTGAAATTATATTAATAATAAAATAAAATAAAAACTTATAAATCCAAAAATAACAAGAAGCACTCAAAGCTACATTTTTAGAAACTAACATTATCTCTCTCTATATTTTCCTATAAGTATATTGTTTATATGAATATCAAATAAGAGTCTGCCTTTCTTTCTGTCTACCTTTTAATCCTTTATAGAATCCCATGGAAAACAAATTGTGAAATATTGTGTTCGCATGCCCATTTAGATAACCAATAAAAAAAGGTTTAGGTAGCTTTTATGAAAAAATTAAATCAAAAACTCTGTAAGCTTTTTCTTTTAAACAATCTTTCTCTTTATCAAGGTAAGACTAAGGACCATGGAAGCCGATCCAAGCCACGAATTTATTATAGGAAGATGTGAGCATTGAATATGCGAATGAAGTTAGTCAGTTCATACTTTTTCCAAAATTAAATAATCATTTACTCCTCCATATATGAAAATCTTCTTTAGCCCAGATTCTAAGTAGTTTCCCTAAAAAGCGAAAGTTTCTTTTCTCACGCTCTTGTACAATTCTGATTAGATTGTGGGTAATAAATAAGTTGGCAGCACGCCATTTGCAAGTTGGCAGGTTGGGTTAATACAGCGGTTCTTTAGTATGTGTAAGTAAAATTCCGATATTACTATTCCAATGAAAGTCAACTACTTTGGTTTACAAATATGTGATGTGTGCTGTCAGATGAGCAAAACCTTATATACGAATCAACTGATTTTGTTCAGGATGCCTTACCTGTGGTATGATGACTATGGGATTCTCTTCCAGCTCCAGTATTTTCTCCTGCTTCTTTTCCCTATTGAAAATGTCAGCAATTTTCTTGTAAGCCGAAGATCCACTGGATGAGCTTGACACAGACGAGCTGGGGGAAAAGCTCTTCTCGCCGTTCAAGAACTTCTGTGGATTCTCCTCGCCAGCAGGGCTATCGCGCTGTGCCAACTCCGCACACTCTCCGGCCCCAACAAGGCCGCGATCGGCATTCTCCTGCTCCTCTTCTGCTCGTGACAGCTCCTCGACTAGATCCTCATCAATATCGCAGGTCAGCTGCTTGATTCGCTCCTCCAGCGAAATGTCCGACTTAACGGCCTTTTTCCTTAAAAGAGAGTGAGTAAGAGAGAGAAAGAGAGAGCGGTTAAGTTTTTCTTTCTGCACGAGCAATTGAAGGGCATTTACTTGATCAGCGAACGGCGGAGAATGTTGCGCTCCATACTGCGTCGCAGCGTATCCGAGTCTCCACAGCTGCCGGGCAAATGAGTGACCAGGCAGCCGGCGCGCTTGGACTCATCAAAGGCACGCAAGGCCTCAGATGTCAGCACGGGTGCCTGATGCGCGGACACGCTGGGAAAGAGTTGACGAACCGCCGAATTGGGTCGCAAGGCATTGTTGAACAGCGTGGAGTGTTTCTTGATGGGTATCAGCTCGTTGATTTGATTCTCGCTGTCGTCCATTTCGCCGCCCTGTGAATGGGTATCACCATCACCGGCAGCATTCGCCTGGTCCTCGGTGACGAAACGGACAGAGCGCTTTGTAGTGCCACTTTCATCCTCCGAGGTCGTGTTATTTTGATCATCAGATTGCTGCAAAGTCAAAAATGTTAGAAGTGTTTCCAGCATATCTCATGGTGCATGCATCACCCTCACCTGGGAAATTGAGTCCTGTTTCCACAGCTTGCCACCCTTTAGTATGCCACTGATTTGGGTTGGTGATGTTTCCTTTGGCGGTATAGGTGGCGGCTTTTGCTCATCATAGTTGTCGCTGACTGAAGCGGCTGCGGCAGCTGCAGCCACAGCACCTGCCTTAGCTGGTAATGCCGGTGGCAGAATCTCTCCGGTGCCAGCACCAGCGGCAGCGGCAGCGGCAGCCACTCCTCCAACTGCCACATCCTCATGCGCCTCCCGTATGATACGCCGCTCGGTCACTGTAGTCATAGTGGTAATAGTTTCAACAACAAATCGTTTATTCTTTTGCAAGCTACTTGGCGTTGGGCCGACAAGGGAAACGGAGCCAGAGCCGGAGCCGGAGACGAAGCCGGAGCCCGTGCCCGTGTCCGCGCCCGTGGCCCTGCCCGAGTTTTGGTTCGAGCCTTGGTTGGCCTTGTCCTTGTTTCTAACTTTGACTGCTAAGCGCACACATACACACATACAACACGGGTCATACGTCAGCACAGCGAGCGGTTGCGTTGCGAGAGAGGGCGTACATACGTTATACAGGAGAGAGCAGTGTTTTGTGGAATTGAGAGAACGAACAAGAGCGCGCGCGCATATGTTCAGGTGTAAGATATATTACAGTTTTGGGGTGGGAGTAAGGCAAAGTTAATTCTCGTTATTTTATAATACAAATGAGCGCAAGGTGCTAATACCTAATCATATGAATCGCATTATGTGGCATGACAACGCTGGCGAGAATGGATTCTAAGCACCAATATCTTATCATGGCAGTTGAAGGCGGCAGGCTCGAGATTCGACATGAATGTATGACAAGGATAAATAAATATTCATCGATTCCTTCGCAACGAAAGGGAATGCAATTTTACGAAAATTATAAGTTCTGCTCGTATTTTTGCTACCAATTTATTTAATATGGTGTTTTCTACTCATGACATTCGTATCTCTAATTAGGTTGATTTTTCTTTTTTTTTAAATCTTTATTCTTTTTTAAGATCTGCCCTAAGGAGGACAATTATTAAATTATATGGTAGCATTGGATTTGTTTAATCATGCGTTCTGTCATGATGGTTGGTTTATAAATTATTCTTTCAAAATGGATTATGGTTTTCTTTGCTGTTTTTCGACACGCTCTCAGGTTGGTCTTAAGCTATTGAATTCGTTTTTTGTTTTTGAAAGGTATTTTGATCCGGACATATAATTTGAATAAGTTATACTCAAATTAATAATTCAGATTCCACTCTCCATTAAAACAAGTCTATACCTTTGTTATGATTTAGATTCAAGATGTATCTCGACATGGGATTCTACAAGTCAAAGAATTTTCAAATAGAAAAATATACTTTAAATAAAAACCATTAATGCCTCTCCATCCGTTAGCTTAGTACTCGTATAATTTGATATATTGTTTCTATACTTTTGCTCGGGATAGGGATAATTGAGTATGATTGCAGTTATGGCAACAATTTAACAAGGTGATGACTCTTGATTGTATTCGTATGTGCGTATGCATGATAATGCTGATATGTACATATGTATATCTTTATATGAGTATGTGTGTATATATAGGAATATACAGGATCTGTGATTTAAAGGACTAGAGATAAAGAAGACAACTGTACCTGTAGCCGTGGCTGGTTTGTACTGCGACTGCAGCACATACTTGGGCCGCTCCTCGCCGGCAATGATCTCCTTCTGGGTGATCCGACGTTCCGGTGAACTGGTGTGCAACGGCAACAGTGCAACAGCCGGGACCCCAAGCGGTGCGAGCTCCTCTTGGCATTGTGGTGAGGTGCATTCTGGGTGCGCAAACGTGAATGAAACGAAATGAAAAACAAATGGGGAGACAAACACACATAAATCGTTGGGCCAAGCTAAATAAGTAGTTATGATAAAAAATTGTTCTGTTATTTCTGTTGTTGCTAGTGCAGTGTCTGCCTGTTGCTGCGGCGGAAGCGCGCTTGAAGGATTGGCCCCGGCCCCAGTTGTCAGGGCTGGCCTGGCCTGGCCTGGTCTGGACTGGGATGGGATGGGCTCGACCCATAACCGGCAACATTTGCGTTGTCGTTGACGTCGCATTCCGGTTCGTTAGGCGCAACAATTACCGTTGACGTTTAATGAAAACGCAACTGGCCGTCTGCCTGTCTGCCTGCCTGCCTGCCTGCCTGTCTGACAGTGCCCGTTCCATAAAGTTGACGGTCTGTATCGTTTGTCGTTTGATAATCAATAAAGCATGACCATCATTAATGCAAATGTATGCGCTCCAATCAACCAACCCGCCCGCCAGCCATCAGAACTAAAGTCTTTGAATGGTTCACTACTTGGGCCCTGCTTATAGACATCTACCTATCTAAATACAAGTAGTATATACCCGTACATACTATGTGTATGTGCATGTCCTTTTAGGGGTTAAAAGCAACTATCACAAGCCAATAACAATGAACGCGTATTTAACCCATTAAGTTGTCGTAAATCAATCCAGTACACTGAATAATTTCTGTGGTCATGCGGGCTGGCAATTCCTTGACAAATTGATTTAAGTTCCTATAGATTTATTGACAGTTTTGTGTGGAATTGTAAATCAACTCAAACAACATTTAATTATGCAAATACGAGTATACCTCGGAATTAACGTAAGGGGGGGGGGGGGGGGGGGGGGGGGGGGGAAGGGTTTTATAGCATACTCGTGACTTACAAAAATAAAACAACAAAGCAATTATTTAGAAGTTAATACAATTTTTCATAGATTCCTGACACCACACTAAACATTAGACTAGAAATATTTCTCGATTATGGAAAAAAAAAAGTTAGTAAGCGAAAAATAGAAGAATTTTAAATCATAACCAAAAGCTGGTGCTGGCAAAAAATTGTGTTTTCGGCTACGCTTTCCTATTACAAGACAGTTTTAACTGATTTAATTTCTATTGTGCTGAGTTTAGAAAAATATAAATAGAAACAAAAATGTAGACGGAATCAGAAAACGTTACGCTGATTAGAAGTTCATTAAAATTTTAGATTTATAAAAATAATGCTAGTTTCCTCATGAAACTATTCCAAATTTAGCGCAACGTCATGTTCTCTACTTGGAATCTAAATTTAGAAGATATAACATAAAGCCTCTTTCCAACTGTACCAACTTAATGCAATTCCGAACAAGAATTATGATACTATCCTTATTATGGTACATTGGATTCCTCCATCGGTTACTCCATCGGTTAGCATTGTTCGCGATGGAGCCAATGCTTTGCTTAAAAGTTACATTATAATTATATTTATAATGCGATTATATTTCCATCGACTCTTGGCGTGCCATTTTTAATAGATAAAGATAGAATTCTGCGGTTTTAAAACAATTTAGATATACTTGGAAAATACGAGTACTATTTAAAAAAAAAAAAAAACCTCTTTATATATATTCCCTGATTATCGTTTCTATTGTAAGTTTTATGGAAAATAAATTAGTTGTTTATTAATTTTTAAGGTAGAGTTTAACAAATTAAACCGAAAGAAGCAATGGCCTAAATGTTTGATTAAATTTACTTAATCGTCATAATTATGTTCAATATCTGAATGATAAATATTTCATGCCATAGTTTTTGGAAAGTAGTAGCAAATTTGAGCGAATATTGGTCATGGCTTAAGCATATGCTGTTCAGAAATGCGCGCACTAAGCCTGCACTAGGATGTATAACAGTCCAATATTTGCCTGCATATGCACAAGTTCCTGGCGTATGTCCTCATTGAAATGCCCAGCCAGTCATCAGTCATGTATAAAGTGCTGGGGAGGGGGGGTGCGATCAATTCGCAGCACCCACGCACCCACCACGGAGCTTGGCTTTAAGTGCGTGCTAAGTACATTCGCCAAGGCTCAGTCCATGCATATTTCACGGATTTAATTAACCAGAAAATGGCAAGAACTGAACGATGATGGCTGGCAATGCAAAGTTTGCTGCTCCCTGTGAATGCTTGTGAGAGTGTGTATGTGCGTGTGTGTGTGTGTGTGTGTTTGTAAGTAGCGACAGAAACAAAATGGCTTCCAATTTAAAACCAACTATACAGCAGCTGACTAGAGTCCTTACTGGCTGGCAAATATTTGCATAAATAATTCATAATTAGATTACACAAAAGCAAACAAAAAACATTTGAAAAGTGCGCGTTTGCCATCGCCCCCACGCGAATTGACTTTTATAGCCAACGGGGCGTCTGAGCGACGACATCACGCCAAACCCCCAGTGGGGCGTTCACTAATTGCATTGAAACTAGGCTCAGCGCTGCAGTGGGTCGTGGACCGTGGACCACGGACCGCCGCAGACTGTGGACCGTAAAACGTGGACTGTGCACTATGTGGGTGCAGCAGCCATAACTCAAAGACATAGTATTTTCATATTTTTTTTTTCAGTTTTTTTAGTTTTTTTTCATTTTGTTCAGTTACCTGCTTCCTGTAGCTGCTTGGCTGCGCACTCGGCACACTCGGCACATTCCGTGCAAACGCCCTGCAGGTCCTCGACAGGCTGTTGTGGTCCACCGCCACCCGTGTTATGTTGTTGTTGCTGCTGCTGCTGTTGTTGCTGCTGTTGCTGCTGTTGCTGCTGCTGCTGCTGCTGCTGGTGCTGTGCACTGCCCACTGGCGGGGGCGGTGGCGGTATTTGGCTATTATTGCGCGCGGCCAACATGGCCGCTCGTTGTTGCTGCAACCGCTGTATCACCTGCAGCTGTTGCAGATGCTGTGCACCAAAAATGTGGCCACTCAATGCACCGCCGAGCGTGTTCTTTAGACTGCTATCCTTATAGCCATCGGGCGGACTGAGCGCGGCATCGTCCACAAAGTCAATTGGCGGCTGATATTTGGGACTCTGTGGTTTGGAGAAGAGCGAGGCATGTATTAGTTATTTAGATAAGCTTATGTAACATAATGATGATGATGATGATGGTAATGATGATGATGATGTGGCGACAACGGTCTATCTCCCCAAATTACGCTAATTGAGTTTTATGGACTCAAGACTCTGCGAACGGTAAACTTTGTTCGAGTAAGCTTGCAGCTCTGTGTGTGATTGCAATTAATCTGAGCAAAGTTTATTACCTTCCTAATCTGGTTACCTACCTAGTTTATGTTGTTTAGTGTGGGTGGCAAGTGGGCATCAGTGGGCCACTATACATATAAAACATTCTACAACACGGGTGACACTAATTTAATGTTCAAAAATCACCTATTTGCCAAAATTCTATTTACTATTTATATTTACTTCTTAAATTAGCCCTTTAATATGGCATTTGTTGTGTTTTTATATAAAATGAAGAGCCCTTCTAGCATAAACTCTACTCTCTTACAACTACAACTTAATTTCTCGTATATGTGTGTACTGTGCTCTGATTATCTATTTTTCATTATCATTTTTTCCTTTCCCTACCCACGAATGGTGGCAACAGCACTCTTAATATCTTTATAACGGTTCGATGACAGCTATAAGAAATTGAGATCAGTCATGGTCGGTCAAGAAGAAGAAGCCTCGATAGCTGTAAAACATCCTAATCGAACGTGCGACAAAATTTTGGCTAAATCAAATTACCACATCAAGCTAAATTGTTTGCTTACAATTGCAATTATAAATAGCAAAGATTTCTTATACAATATAGCACTATTCGTAATGGAATATATGTTTGGTGGCTCTACCTTTAAACGATCCTTGGGTTCATAAAGACAGACACATATACGTGCTTATGTCGCCTTTTCTAATATAGTACTTAATAGATACACGCGACACTCCAGTGTACGTCTCAGTTAAAAAAATTATTATTTGTATACAAATTTTACAATTATGCCTTGAATCTAGATTAACTACAACTTTATCCAGTAAGAATTCCACTCCTAAATATACAAACACCTAGGGAATTACATTTTCAAAGCCTATTTGTGAAAGAAATTATTTGCATGAATGAATTAAGTAATTGGAACAAATTATTTGTATGAAAAATAAATCCTGTGATCCACCAAATAATTAAATTTCATTTCTATAAAAATCTAATCTGCACATTATAATTCCTATAGTTCATACATATAATTCGTACATTCATAGACATGTACATATTTAATCTCTCACTTCCACCTGGTAGCTTTTCACATAAAATCTCTATTACGTGGCTGCTTAAACTCATCTTGTTTTACGAGTGTTTTAATAGAGCCATTATCTTAAACGTGTGCGAAACATTTGCAATAGAGAATGTAGCTCATTTTCCAGATGTCTTTCTGGCCAAGTAAATACTGAAGAAAAGTCAGTTAAGAGTCTACACTTTTTTAATTCAAACAAGGATGGAAATATAAATTTAATTTGTTAAATTTAATTAAGTAATTTATTAATTTTGCAATACTTTCTGAGATTCCTGCGTTCATACAGACAGGCGTACTTGATAATATGGACTCGTCTGGTTATGCTGATCAAAAAAATATATACTTGTACTTTGCGTCGCCTGCCACGCGTTCTTCTGTGTGCTACATACAATCGCACTAAGCTTTGGATAAGGGACTTACAAATATAAACCATTTGCAAAAAATTAAGTTTCAAAATAGTTTATTTTTCATGATTCAAGAATTCCAAAATTTCAGAAAATGTATTAGATTTTTGGAATAAGTATGAAAAAGATAAGTACTAATGCAAAACATGAGCCATCTGAGCACAAGACATCCGGATGAAAAACGAATGTATTTAGAAGACAACATTTAAGAGTGTACTTAACAGTATATACATATACAAGTATATATGTATAGTAGATGGCTATAAAAGTTATCTCCCTACGATGTAATTGAAACTATCTGTGAATCTTTTAGGTGGGGAAAACAGCGAAGAAAACATTGTAAAACCATTGAAGCATCAAAAGTTGTATGTAACATAACCCTGGCAACACAACATCAACTAGCATTATAATTCTGGGCCTTGCATCCAAATAAAATCTACTTACTCGTGCACACGACTACAAACGCACTACATACGAGCAATCCAATTGCACAGAAAAAATGCAAACCAAAGTCTAGGCCAAAGTTCTTCGTGTGTTTGTTTCTAGTGGGGTGCATTTGTGTGTGTCAAGTTACTTTTGGGATGCTTACTGGGGCCCTCTCCCCCTCCCTCTCCACCCGTCTCTGTTTTCCTTTCTATCTGTATGTCTCTGTTAACCCCGCTTAAGCAAAGTTGGCAAGTCTTTTGTCAGTGCACGATAAGAGGGCTCGGAACAACTGCACAAAACAAATGGCATTTTGCTTTGCACCGACCGACACCACCCCCTCCCCCGCCACACAGCGTTCGACTCGCCTCCTCAGTGCCCATCAAACGGCAAGCGGCAACTTAAAACCACTGGCTGATGTAGCAGGAAATTCTTTTCAGCGCAAAATATGAAACTTGCTGCGGCTGCCATAATTTTGCTTTTGGCCAACAAACAGCTGTAAGAGAGGAAAAAAAAACACCAAAACAAAAAACTTTTGCATACAAAAATATAATTCTTTCTTGGCTTGGCAATCGGTTATGCAACCACTGAGCGAGCGGCATGCGCCACATGCCAGATACGGGTGGCACTGGCGGTGGCCGTGGCGGTGGCGGTGGCGGCAGTTCATAAACTTGTTACATACACTAAATGCATATTAAACTCTTCAGAGAGAGAAAGGCACACATACAGACGAGCACATATCCTTAATGGTGGGGACGTGTGAAAGGGAAGGGCAGCCGGGCGGGCACACACATGCTTGAGCAGCGCCAAGTCAAGTGCATTGAGTGCAAATCGTAAGAAGTTCCCCACCGCCCCCACGCCCACATAAGCTTGCACTGTCCTAGCTCAGGAGGCTCTTAGACAAGCAACCGAAGACCGACCGACCAAGCCCTCCCTCCCTCCTCCCCACTCCCCGCCAGCAACACCCTTCTGAGCCATCCGCCTTCTCAACGCTCGCCATAGATAAGCAAAGCGGCACACTCAAGTGCCGCTTATGTGGCAGAAAATTGAAATTTAAACGCAACTTGAGTGCGTCACAGTGTCTACATGACCAGGCAGGATCGATATGGGGCTCTAGCGATAGAGCGACGGCATAGTTGGCATAGTTGACCAAACTGCTAACAACTTCCCTAATATGTCCTTAACACATAAAACGCGTATATCATGATAAGAGGCGAGCGGGAATCCGAAGCGGGACACATTGCTTGAGCACTCGAAGACACAATTTCATAAAACAATATATCACATACACACAAATACACGGCCCAAGATACACTTAGCGAATACAAGTACATACTGTGGGCGTATTATTAATATTCAAATATACTATAAAGCAACATTTTATTTAACTGGAGGAGCTTTACTAAAGATATCAAGATCTTAAATAATAAACAATTTCAGCAAATACAATATCAATCAGGAATTTGGATTCTCTAAAAAAAACTCACTCTCATTTGAGCCGAGACTTTGTAGTTTCCTAGTTTGCTTAAAATCTCATATCTTGCAAGTTCTGCATTTTAATATTTGGTACAGATAGGTCATTAATTACATATCTGAATAAAAACGAAGGAAGTGCTCTCACACTTTGATAAACCTATGCGATTAAATGAAATTCATACGTTATGATGAACTTGGAAGTTTTGGTTTTATCCTTCAAATAATTATTGTTAGAGTTAATTGGTGAAAAGTTAAGGATATATAGCTTCTAAGCTTCTTATGGCATTTAATCCTCGCATCTATTCTCAATTTTAAAGCAAATCTTTCCTAAAACTCTTTCAATTTATATATAGACTTTTGACATAAGTATATGCGTATTTTCTTGTAGTGTATGGACACACAATATTACAACTACTGCAGTTTCAAGTTACTTCGCTTAGTCCTGAAAGGAGCCGTTCCCCATGTATGTGGGCTGATGCTGGCATAAGAATAGCATTTTGTGTAAAAGTTTTTAAGTGATTTATACACACTTGCCAATTGGGAGACAAATAGACAGTCGGACAGGCAGACAGAGTCAGACATGGAGACATGTACTAGTAGATAGAGAGATGGATTGGATATCTTGTCTGTGTGTGCGTGGGTTACTTGCAACTTGAGTTTACTTGACTTGCCACTTGGGTTGCGCTTTTCCAGTGTGTGCGATTATAGTTAGATATCCGAATATAGCCTAGTTATTATACACATACTTGTACATTCATAAATAGGTGAGGTAAGTATGTATGTTTTAAGCTTTTGTTTCATTTCATATTTTGTGCATTGATAACAAAATGCAAAACAATACCACGTTAGTTGTAGTTAGTTACCTGTGGGGCATCTGTAGCCAGTTTTGACTTGAGTATCTTTCACACACATATTTAGATTCATAGATACGTAACATGACAGTCTAATAGACACAAAGTTCCTGTGAAAAGTATGTGAAGGCAAATGTCTATCGAATCAAATTATTCAGAGAAGACAAAATCCAACTCAACTCCTTCTTTTGTAAAAGGAGCTAAACACATTTTAAGTATGAACGGCAGAGAATTCATGGAATCTGCTTTTCCCGTTAATGTTTGATTTAATTTTGACATTTAAACAACAAACAAAGGCAATCCAAAAATTTGCGAAAAAGTAAGTAAAATTGTTTCCTATACATATTTAATCATGCAGTATTCCATCCTTTGTTCTAGCCCGTGGAAAGTATTAATTATTGTAATACTCTTGACTACATCAAATACTTTGGTTTATTCATAATTTAATATTTTCGAATCAAATCTGAGCAAATAATGTTGAAAATAACCCTCTCAAAATATTGTCAAAGTTGGCAAACAAATGAGACGCATTGCCGTAATAAGAATTATAATCCTAATAGTATACTTAGAACAACAGCAACAGATTTGAGTTTAAAAGAAGATAGTCTACATTTTAAAGTAAAAAATCCCCCTCATTAGAAACATTTTCTATTATGAATAAAAATTTTATTCAAACTATTAAGCATAGCTGCAATTCCAAGTTTATTAAAAAAGGCTTTTATAAAATTCAGAACAACTAAAGAAAACTACAAGATACAAGATATGAAAATTGCTTTGAAAAATTTGGGGTTTATCAAACAAACAAAATAATACAGTTTATTTATGAATTAAACCAATCAGAAGTATATGTATATAGACAAACAATAAAAAATATTATTGCTGTAGTGTCCTCAAAATATTTTAGAGCCTAAGACCGTTGGCAAACAATTTTAACAAAATAAATTACAGCGAACTTGAAGTTCATTTTGTGCTAATTGCATTAAGTTGTATTTTAAGGACGATTTGGGCATTGTTTTTTCTGAGTGCAGCTAAGAACACTTTGCTTTTTTATTTTATGATTAAATAAGGAATTTTTGCAGAGCTTCCAGAATTAGTGATTAATAATAACTTTTTATTGCTGTTGTCCTTAAATTAGAACTAGAATACATTTAACTCAATGACTTGCCCACAACTCAGCACAAGCTTCGCTGAACACTGTTACTTATTAAATAAACTCACTATGTAGTGCACACATAACTGTGTAGAACGCTCACCTGGCGTGTGAGGTGAGAGTGTGTGTGTGTGTGTTTGTGGGTGTTAAGCTAGTAAATTGCATTGCATACTTTCAGGCAGCAGCTGCGGGCTAAATGCAAATGCTTGTTGTTAATTAGAGCTCATGAAGCTAACAAAACTACACAAAAATACACACTCCAGAGAAACGCAGACCAGCTTTACTTGTACTTCAACATGTACACATATATACATACATATGTATGTATGTACATAGATTTAAATGTGTGTAAATTTGTCTCGCAGCGCTACAGTACCGCACTGCAGTTTCTGTTGCAGTTTCTGTTGTTGTTTTGTTGTTGTTGTTTTGTTGTTGTTGTGGGGCTACCTGACTGGCTCACTAATCCACTTACAGACAGACCATTCCCCCAACGAGGCACCCAGCCTGTTGCCACCCCATTCACCAATAGTTGCCCATTGTAGCCATTTAGTTTACTCACCTGTGGCGTTCGTCCGTCGCCCGGTTCGCCAGCATTCACCGCATAGTTACATTGGCAGCCCTCCTCGCAACAGAGACGCACCAGCTCGTGCTCACCGCAGGTGCAGGGCTCCTCATCCTCCTCATCGTAGGCACAATCCTCACGTATCAATATGATATAATCGGCCTCGAAAAACTCATTGCGTGTCTCATCGAAGACGACGCGATTTTTTCTCGCCGGGGGCGGTCGATTTGGTTTCTTGAGTAGACCACGCAACTGTCCATTGACCTCGCGCATGGTTAGACCGTCTAGGGGTAAACGCGTGTAGGGGCAAGCTAAAGAATTGCTTTGGTAAGAGGCGCTTATGTTGCAGATGTTGTCGATGTTGTCGATGTTGTTCTCTTCGCTGTCTAAACGACAGGCATGGCACTGACAGACGCTGCTGTTACTGTTGCTGTTGCTGCTGCTATCGTTATCCTCGCTGGGACTGCTATCCTGTTGCTCGCTAACAAACTCGGCTAGTAGCTCGTCGTAGCACTGAAAGCGTTTGTGCAGCGATGCGGTCTGATTGTGGTTAATGTCCAGACGCAGTTGGCGCGCCGCCTTCAGATACTCGCTAAAACGCTGCACATCGAACTCGCTGAGTGTGGCCACAAAATCGTCACTGCTGTTGTTGCTGCGGTTCTTGTTGTTGTTGTGGTTGTTGTTGTTTTGAACGCTAACGTTAAAGTTGTTAGCGTTGGAGTCGCGTGGCTGCCTTTTGACCTGTGTCGGCACAAATGCGCTTTTAATGCCAACCTCCTCGTCTGGCTGCTCGCCCACCGCCTCGTCGTCCTGCTCGTTGTCTCGACGGCTGCCGTTCTTCTTATCGTCGTCAGCGTCGTCAGTGTCCTCGTCCGATTCAATTTCAATGACCACCTGGTCACTCCTATTCCCAGCTGTTTGCCACCCGCTTTCAATCGCTTTCAAATGCTCGCTTTCAATCGCTGCTGTCGTCTGCTCACTACTCTCTATGCGCAGACGCTCTAACGTTCCGAACGTATTCAGCAACTTTTCAGCTGTTCGTCTGCTGGTAATGGCAGTTTTTCTTTCATTTGCAAAAATTTCATGCTCGTCTAAGGCTTGAATACAATTTACATTTAATTGAATTGCACTTGAGCTTTCTACGGCCGACAACGACCTTAGTGGCCTTAGTTCCCCTGCCACATGCACCTCCCCGTCTATCGTCTCACTGCTGGCGCCTTCAACTTCAACTATTTTATTGTCCTTAGCGTGGGTTGGGGTTGGGTTATGGGTGGGCGCTGATTCTGAATTTGCTCCTTCTGCTACGGTTGGGGGTAGTTTCTTTGTTGTGCTTATTGTTTGTTGTTGGAATGTCGCCGCCGTATTGGCATTTAGTTGTTGTTGCTGTTGTTGTTGTTCCCTCAAGGATGCCTTTACACAATCAACTTCAGCGTCACAAATGCTGCCACTATGATTACTATAGCAGTTGCTGCTGCCTCCGTTGCTGTTACTATTGTTGTTGCTGCTGTTGTTGTTGCTGTTGTTGTCGCTGTTGCGTTGCGTGCAGCACACGCGTCCCTGAAAATTGAACTGCAAACGCTTTAAACGATGACTGGCCACAAAATCCTCGACTTCTTGCTGCTCTTTGGCGCTTAAATCGTTTTCAAAATCAATTAGATCGCAGTCATTAGCTAAATTTGTTGTTGCTGTCGTTGCTGTTGGTGTTGTTGTTGCCCACTCACTAACAGCACTCGTTGCTAACAATGCAGCACACTCGTTACTTGTTGCTGTTGTTATATTGCCAACTAACTTTTCAAAATCATAAACGTCCCGCACACTCGTCCGTACCTCACAGCGATTCCCCAGCGATTGCTGTGCAAGATCCAAAAAAGGACTAGCACTCGGGACAACTGGCGCTACACGCTGGTCGGTCAAGTGCTCGTACTCGTTGTTTCGTTGACTCGCTACATACTCTGCACACTCATTACTTGATAAGGCTGCTAAGCTTGATCCTGGCAGGGTCTCGCTACTTTTTGCACGCTGCTCAGATTGATTGGTATATGCTGTTGTTGTTGTTGTTGTTGTTGGTATTCCACCAGCACTAGATTCGTTGTCAATTAGCGCATGATTATGCGTGTTGTTGGCATTTCGTTGTTCGTGTTCCACTTGTCTCGTGACGAGGGGCCGTTCCCAATTTTTGCAGTTGCTGCTGCTGCTGCTGCTGCTAGAATTTCCTTGCGCCTTGCTTTCTTTGTTGTCTGTGCCAACGTTTTTCACGTAATCCACGTAACTGTCAGCAACAACAAGAGGCACGCGTTTTGGCAGGGCAACAACAACATCAACGACATTATCAATACCAGCAGCAGGGTCTAACTTGAAATATGGCAATGACAATGGCTGCTCCCGCTCCTGCTCCTGCTCCTTGTCGTTCTCCTTCTCTTTTAATTCTCCAACGTTTGCCAACTCCTGGTGCTGGTGCTGGTGCTGGTGCTGCTGTTGCTGCTCCTTGCTTGCCTCAGCTGCCTCTACTTCTGCTTCTACTTTGCTGGAACAATCTAATACTGCACTTACTGCTGCATTCAATTCAACACCATTGGCCACATTTTCACAATTTGAAAAAAAATTTGTTAGCACGCGCCGACCACAAGACGAGACATTTTTCAAAGTAGTAGTAGCAGCAACGCTTTTTTCAATACCTTTTTGCACAAATTTTTCTCTACGTTGTGAATTATCGTACTCGTCCTCGTCCGCGTCCTCGTCTCCTCTGTCGTTGCCGTCGTCGTCTTTGTCGTTGTCGTTGTCGCAGTTATCGTTGCCAGCCTGTTTGTCAAAATCGAAATGTTTATTGGCCGTATTCTGATTTAACGGACTTTCGTTCTTATTTATTTGCACAAGGTTTTCACTAAGTGTTGTTAATGGTTTTTCAACAGTCTCGTTTTCATTTAGAATTTCAATATTTTTTTGCTGACAATTTACTGCTGGCTGCTGCTGCTGCTGCTCAGCTGCGCTTGCTGCGACGACTGCTGCGACGACGTTGGCTTTGAAAAGCTCACTGCCAGCAATTGTAGGTATTAAGCAGGCGCTGCTGCCGCTGCTGCTGCTGTTTCTGTTTCTGCTGCTTGTGTTTAGCAGCGACGTCAATGCTGTTGGTGTTGTTGTTGTTGTCACATTGGGTGGTTGGCTTTGGCCAACGGCCGTTGCACGACCTGCGATTGCGCTCACGCTCACGCTCTCACGCTCGACTTGCGCGCGCTCACATTTCGTTTCCACTTCCGCTCCTGTACCAAAGCGAACACGAGACTCAGCTCCAACGTCAGCGCCTCTGTCAGCACCATTGAGAGTTATGGAGGTGGCATCGCTGTACGTGTATTCAGCACGCGCATGCGTTTCAATGTCGTTCAATTTGTTTTGTTCAACTGTCGCTGTTGTCGCTGTTGTCACTGCTGCCACTGTCATCGCTGGCTGGACGACACCGCCCACTTCTCCCCCGCGCCATGGCTGCCACGCACAATGCGCCTCGTATTGCTGCACGGCGGCAACACCAACAATAACAGCAACAGCAACGCCATCGCCATCCCCATCGTGAACGTCAACGTCCACGGCTGCTCGTGTGCTGCGTGTCTCGCATGCCAAATCAACGTCATCATTTAAACCTAGTCTACCGTTAGTTGTGTTGGCTGTTGACGCCGACGCAACTGTCGCTGTCGCTGCTGCTTCTTCTGCTGCTGCTGCTGCTTCTGCTGCTGCTCCTGTTTCTATTTCAGCTTTATTATAGCTATTATTACCACCATTGTCACTGCTGCCGTAATTATTATTGTTGTTGTTGTTGCTATTGCTGTTGCTGTTACTGTTGCCTTTACAATTTGCATTCTCATTGTGTTTGTTTAACGTTTTGTTGTTTGTTGCCGTTGTGGCTGTCATTTTGTTACGTATCGCCGTGACGCTATCGTCACATTGCACCCGTTGCTCACGTTGCTGCTGTTGTTGTTGCTGCTGCTGCTGTTGTTGTTGTTGTTGTTGCTGCTGTTGCAGTTGAAATTGCTGCTGATGTTGCCGATGTTGGCCGCTTTGTCCGTTCGCCAGTGCCAACGTTAACATGTCGACTATAAGCATACTGGCCAGCTAGGCGCTGTCACAGTCCTGTCACTCCAATCCCAGCATGGGACGCACTGCAAAGAAAATGTGGCAATACAAATTTCAAGCATTAGTCCATTGTTGACAAAGTTAAAGCCCAGCCAGACTGATTGCTTCCACGCTGAGGAAATTGCTGACAAAAAGTATTATTGAAAAGTTTTCCAAATGCAATACAGTGGTATGTCAAGCACTAACTAGTATTTTTTTAAAATACCTTGTTTTGTATCAAAATAAGATATGTGCCATTTTCATTTAGGTTTTATTATTATTCTGCCAATTTATAATTAACCTAGCGCCGGAACTTAGAGCTGTAGAGATATGGCTACGATATGGTGATACAAAAATCATTTTGTGCGGAGTAATGTTATGCTAATTACCGGCAAAAGCATTAAGCAAACAAAACAATTGCAAACAGAATATTTATTTATTAACAAAAGTCGTTCCAAATACTATAAACTTGCATAAATCACATGAATTTCAGAATCTCCCATTATTGTTAAAAGTACAATATATATAAATACTATAAATTGTTGAATTTCCAACCAAAGCAGTGCCATATAAATGCCCCCACCAGAAAATGCCCGATTTCAAAAGTTATGCTTACTTAAGCTCCTTAAATTATTAAATTAAATTTGTGACGTAATATTATAATAGAAGCTATTTAATATGTTAAGAGTTCTAATGCACCCGCAACCGAATCTGATTAAATAGTGTTTGATGTAAATCAGTATGCCTGTATATCGATAGATTGGTTGACAAATACCAGCACAAAAGATTCAAAACTGTGTCAATTACATGTTTTGAATATTTATACAACAAAATATTGGTTCATGGTTAACAGTTCTTAACAACTATTTAATTCCAGAACTAACTACGTTCAAGCTCTGTATTTCAATCAGTTTGGATGACAAATACGGTTCTGATTGGATTCTCTATTTAAAAGCGACTTACAAGTTAACAACTTTTGACAGAGGATATTTGGGGCAAGAGTTATTTTTTTATCAGAATTATATGAAACAGGAGTATATGACACAAATGAATTGGTTGCCACTTAAAAGTCTAAGCAATACTTTACATAAATTTATTTATACTGAAACTGTTTTCTACACCCTAAGTGAAATAATTATGCCTTTTCAAGCTCAAAAGACTTTACTATTTATGCAAGCCCATCCAACTTTAACGGCTATAAGGAATAATCTTTTCTATAAGGCCTAAAATAATTTAATAAGATCCGAAGTCAACCGATATTTCTTTTCAATCGTTTTCATATTATTCTCAAAGAGCTAAAATCTCCTCAAGCATAATGTACAAAATGTAAATGTACTTTTGAAAACAATTTAAAAATACTTGTATTTCGATGCATATATATGTATATATTTCTTAGATTAATCCTATAGAGCGACTTCGGCCGCACATGTTGTTGTAAGCGAAATGAATAATCTTAAGTAAATACAAATGAATTTGTAAAAGAAATTGCAAACATCAATGCCAAATGTCTGTTTATAGTTTTGCGAAAAACTCTTATTGAAATTTTGAATTACCGGTGTGAATAAATAATTCAAGTTTTATTGGTCTTCATACCTATCCGACTGTGAATTGTGGAACTTAGTAGTAGGCTTAGAATTCCATTCTATAGCGATTATACTTCGGACTGTGCATTTCAAACCATACTCTGTTGTGAACCTCAACTCTCTCATATAAAGACTATTAGCAGTAACTGAAGAATCCTTTTCTAATTGAACATCATGAATATACGTGTACATGCATTGGGCTTTATTTATATCTACAACTAATGCTTCTTATGCCCTAGAGAACCCTCTAAAAATGTTTAAATAAGAAGTATTTTCGATGCAAATATTTTCTCCAACACGCTCGCAATATAAAGTATTAGCTGAGGTAATTGTTATTTCATATTTTTATCTATCTGTTACCTAAACTGTATAAAGCTTCTTGCCTTGCAATTATATTATTTCCTGCACTCGAAGCACAGTTATTTAAATTGAAATGTAAATGCTCTCTTATCGCCTGCCCAGCAACTACCAAAAGCGGCAAAGTTCGCAATCTTTGTCTCAGCTGCCAAAACTATTAATCACATTTACTGTACATATGTACGAGCATGTACTATATAGTATATGTATATAAATGGGTGAGCACAGTAAAGTTTTAGAAATTTGAAACTTCCTTGAAGCCCACAATACAAACAATTGAGGCCGGCTAAAGGCAGCTTTAAGCACTTATACGAGTATACGAAAGTTCCAGCTAAAACTGCGCGAAACTGGCAGAGACAGTTTCAGGCACGGACTGATAAAGCCAAACTTCGTTTAGAGTGTGGGAGTTGTTCTTATCGAAAGTTCTCACTGCGGTAACTCATAAAGAACAAATACAACAAGATATGTTTTGTGCACGTGTGGGAAAGTTTACCAACAGGTTTTCTTTTCTATTTTTTCTTTTTTTTTTTCTTTGATTGGATTGTCAGGCAGGAAACTAGAGGCTTTGCCTACCAGTTGAATTTTCCACTTTGCATATAGCTGTCGTTGTAGTTGTTGTTATTTTTTTTGCATAAATTAACTTTACCTGGGCCAACTTTTCTACAGCAACAACAAATTTGACACAAACTGTCGAAATTTTACGCGCGAGTTGTTGTTACTCTAATTCTAGCTGCTGCTGTTGTTGTTGTTGTTATTGCACTTGCTGCCACACTTTCCACTGGGCCAAACAGACAATGGAAAACAGGTGCGCCGACGCGGTCAAGCGCATCCTGCGCGCAGGATACATACGCACGCACATGCACGCCCGTTGACTCACACGTACACGCGATCACGAGGGGTCAGTCGAGGGTTAAATGCGCGCCGGCCGTTACGCACCAATGCAGAAGCCAAGTTATGCAACAACAAGAAACACACACACACACACACAGACACACATATAGGGGGCACACCACCGAACAAAAATATTTATAAACAAAAAAGAATTGAAGTTTTGCTTCCAAGTTTCGGGTTCGAGAATTTCAATTCGGAAAACGGCAACCGTAGCCGTCTAAGACACACACGTCCGAGCGCGTTTCGTGGCGGAAGTGGACTGAACAAACCCAAATGAAAATGCGCCCGACGCGACTCACTCGCATGCGCAAAAAACTCAACGAACACACCATGAACACGATCACGAGGCGGTAGCTCAAGCAACTAAGTACCAGTACCAGTGGCAGTAACAGTAACAGTCGCGTCGAAGAAGCAGGGAGAAGGAGAAGAGGAAGAAGAAGAAGTGGCGTGTAAGTATGTAAGTAATATGGCTATGGGGGTAGGGCCAAACCAAAGCAGACACTGCGATGAAGACGCTATAAAACGACGACGTTAATGACGATAATAAAGACAACACAGTTGGGGCCGTGCCCATCTTTTTAAAGCTGTCGTTCAGCATTTCAAGATCATACTTACCATAAAATAATTTGGAATCGATCTGCTTCGGAATACCGCTGCCGTCAGCACAACTTCTATATGCAGAGCCCCAAATCTATATAAGTAGTAACATATCTTAAATTCTCAATTAAAGCCACACTACGAGTATATACCAGAAAACCATCGCTTTCACTTTTTAAGATCGTCTCGTCCTGTGCAGTACCTCTGCAAGATTTATTGACTCTACTGGCTAATGTCGCTAGATCCAAAGACCACTGTCTATGAAGCCCATCTAACCTATTATCCAATTCAATTCCTGTAAACAATAAGAGTTCTCTAGTGGGAGCAAATATATTTCCAGCGAAAAAATATAATTTTTAATTGCGATTTCTGTGTACCATCGTCAATTTTGTTTTTGATTTATTTAAATTATTATATTATTGATTTTGCGTTTTGTCAAGTCGTTAATACAGGACTTAACTTCGTACTTTTATCAAATAGTGTGTAGCCATCTGGTTTTTGAAAACACTCTTATGATGAAACCAACCCATCAGATTAAGAAATAAATTCACTTTTATGTTTTCAAGCTCGATCATCATAGTTTGATATTTTAGTACAAATATTGCAATTTATTGTAATATTTCTTGAGATCTTCTTTATATATTTAAAGAAAAAGAATTAAAACAATTAAATGGATATATGCACATAAGGTACCGACAACATTTAATTTCCAGATACATCAAAAATGTTTGATATCAAACACCAATATATTCGTTTAGAATCCACCGAGAGCGACATTTGATAAATTCAAAAAGTATTATTTTTAGATTTTATGAAATAACAAACTGAATGATTTGTCTATGGACTTCCCGTGCGTGTCTCAAAAGTTGTTGTTGTCATTGCATGTCTCCACTTCGAGCTTCTTGT